AAAAAAGTTGCTAAAAAGCTGAAAACATTATTGATGAAAAATTAGATTTCATTTGTTGAAAAAGTGCGATTTAGTGAGCAAATTGTAAATTTCTTCTTAATTTCTTATTCTGAACTGCTTAGAGTCTAGGCTAGATCTCAACCGCTGGTTCAACCGCTCCCGCTGAGTTTTTTTCTCCAAAGTATATATCATTCCAATTATTTTCATAGTTGTTCACCAAATAATTTGTTCTCTTCCTAAATATGATACCTACTGGGCGCCCATCTTCTATTTCAACTTTTAATTGTTGCCCTATCTCTGAGCATCTTCTCTTTGTACAATATAAAATAATAACAAAATAAGGTCGCGGATTTAATATTTATTTCAAAATTTTACAAAAATCAAAGCTTTGACACACAATTTTGTAATTTTAAGCATTCATAAACCTTCCCTGGGGTCATGTGAGGTCTAACACAAAATTTCAGCCCGATCGGTTCAGTCGTTTTGACGTTTATTGGATACTGACGGACAGACAAACAGACACTAGCAAAGTATTTATAATAATAATTGGATGAACAAACACACAGAAAGACAGACAAGACCGGAGAGAACCCAGAGAGGTTGGATTTTTTGTGCAATTGAATTTATCTTAAAACCCTCTATTTATGCTAATGTGCAGTATAGAAAGTTCATTGAAAACATCAAAGAAGAAAAAATATGATAAGTAAATCATTTAAAGTGATCAAAAACAAACAAACTCTGATAAGAAAATTATAAAATCAAAAAATATCAAGAAAGTTATAAAATCGATAAAAGAAATACGTTAACAAAATTCCTATGCTTTATTCAATATATATATGGAAGAGATAATGTAAATAATTGTAAACATAGTTAAGCCTGTAAACAAAATTCCTATGCTTTATTCATTATATATATATATATATGGAAGAGATAATGTAAATAATTGTAAACATAGTTAAGCCTGTAAACAAAATTCCTATGCTTTATTCATTATATATATATATATGGAAGAGATAATGTAAATAATTGTAAACATAGTTAAGCCTGTAAACAAAATTGTAAACATAGTTAAGCCTGTAAACAAAATTGTAAACATCGTTAAGCCTGTAAACAAAATTGTAAACATAGTTAAGCCTGTAAACAAAATTGTAAACATAGTTAAGCCTGTAAACAAAATTGTAAACATAGTTAAGCCTGTAAACAAAATTGTAAACATAGTTAAGCCTGTAAACAAAATTAGGCCTTAAGTGCAAAACTTCAACATCCTATAAATTAATTTTCTTCTTAAAACTTAAAAGTTTCTTTTCGGAAAACAAGCAGATAATGAATTCAAAAAAACACCATGTAAGGAATTGTGTCTTTGCCACAAATTCAGTTTTTGTAAAACCTATATCTTTGCAACCTTATGATGGAAACCTTTGATACTTACATTATTTGATCTAATAGCATTCATATTTTGAAATATTAAAGGTCTACGACATTGAGTTGCAACGATATTGAAATTAGAAAATCAAAGTTTGTGGCAAAACCTCAGTTCCTTTAATGGCTTAATCAAAGATAAGAAATTATAGTTTTTATCCCATTCATAGTATACCTTATACTTCCATTTTCCTAGATTACTATCCTACTATGTAGAAGCCAAAACTGTCAATTAAACGTAAATAAAACAGGTTCTTAATCCGTCCACAAATCCTTTAATTACACGTTTCAGTAGTAACAAATTTGGGGGTTCGGCTCAATAAAGTTTTACATCTAGACATGTAATTTCATGTAAGTTTTTGACACCAACGTTGATCTTCTAATCCCTATATTATTGCAACCCAATTGTGTAATTTTTTAATATTTGAAATTTAAAATATTTGATTTCATAGTTTAAAGTTATAAGGTGCACGACATTGAGTTGCAAAGATATGGGGATTAAAAATCAGGGTTTAGGGCAAAGACTCAATTCCTTTTTCTGTCTGTTTGCTTGTCTGTTTGTATCCAATAAACGTGAAAACGGCTGTTGATCGAAAAAGTGTACGCCAGCAGTTAAGGGTATAAGTTAGTTTAACTTGTATTATTATGATTTAGCTGTTATTTTCATCTTTCCTTTTCAACTCTTTCTTTCTCTTTCTTTCTCCCTCTATTTCTTCTGGTTTCTTCTTCTTTATTAATCTTTTTCTTCTTCTTTATTAATCTTTTTTCTTCTTTTTCACTCTTTTTTTTCTTACTCTTTTCCTCATTCGTTCTCCTTTTTTGCTTCTTCTTCTTTGTCTTTTTTTTCTCCTTTTCTTTCTCCTCCCTTATCTTAACATATTGCTCAGATTTTACAATTAGGTCCTTGTCCTAGGTTAATGTTACAGGAAATAAGATAAAAGTATTATTGGGCGTGGGAGGGGAGCCCCTGGTCGCCATGAGCCTCCCAGATTTTGCTATGCAGCACCGAGCCCCCGCTATGCAGTATAAATTTCATATTAAGACTTAAACATTTTTTTACGCGAAAAGGAAGATATTAAGAAAATAAATTATAAAGTAAATTCGATAAGATCTGTAAAAATCATTGATTTAAGCGATTCCTTTTTTTAAAAAAATAATTTTATTTAGATAGATCTTGTGATGCAAAATTATTATTTTAAAGAATTAGATATCTAATTCTTTTTAAAAATCAACAAAAAATGCATTTTTTAACTCAAAGATATTATGAAATTGAATCGATTTCATTTTAGAAAAGTTTTCTTCATGTCTGTATCAAAGTACTATCAAAGTACTATTATAGTACTATCAAAGTACTATCAAAGTACTATCAAAGTGCTATCAAAGTACTATTTTGGTAGGCTATTATATATCAATATAATGAATACGACTTTCGAACTAAATATTGATTTATATCAAGCTTTTAAGCAGCATGGATACACAAAAACATGGAAACAGAGAAACTGACAATTAGAAAGCTTGGTGTCTATTCTGAACCAATAGAAATAGTATGGCGGTAACATCTATCTTTTTATCTATCTCATTATCCAATCAGAGTTATGAATCCTTCAATCGTCGCTTTCAGTAAATGGAACTATTTCCTTCTACTGAAACTATGGTGTACCACCGTATAAAAGTACTTTCAAAGTACTATCGGATCGGAACATCAGAGTACAATTGGAGTTCTATCAGAGTACTATCTAAGTAATATCGGAGTATTATCAAAATATTACCTGAATACCATTGGGGTACTATCGTAGTACCATCAAAGTACTATCGGAGTACCATCAAAGTACTATCGGAGTACTATAGAAGTTGTATTGGAGTGTTATTGGAGTAGCATGAGAGTACTATCAGAGTACCATATTGAAGTAGCATGAAAGTACTATCAGAGTACTTTCAGAGTACTATCAGAGTACTATTGGAATACTATCAGAGCACTGCACTGTTGTAGTATCATTGAAATACTATCGGAGTACTGATGTAGTATCTTTGGAATAATATCGGAGTACTGATGTAGTTGTCTTTGGAATAATATCGGAGTACTGATGTAGTATCTTTGGAATAATATCGGAGTACTGATATAGTATCTTTGAAACAATATCGGAGTACTGTTGTAGTATCTTTGGAATAATATCGGAGTACTGTTGGAGTACCATGTCAAAAAGTACCCATAAGTGTGATTAATATTTTGGTATTGAAAAAAGGTTTGTGAAAAAATGTTTAAATATGTAATGTTGAATGTTAAATTCATTAATTCTACATAATAAAACATTCAAATCATTTTCTTCCAAAAATGACGCTATAACGTTTTTTTTTTGTAAATTGCGTTCACAAGGAATTCTGAGTAATAACCACAAATTCTGATTGTTAAATCCCTAAAAATTGCCAAAAACACGAAAGATTTTTAAATCAGATTTAGTTTACGCACGAATATAAATATTGTGAAGAATAAAATTTGTTTGAAAAAGATGTCTCCCGGATTGGATGCTTTCATTGTTCCCCTGCTGTCTACCCCCTACAGACACTACAGGAGGTGGGGACTGGGGAAAACCCAAATAAACAAATTTTAAATTTAAAAAAAGTATATTTTTATTTAAAGAATTAATTCGAAGCACTCAACGCTTTTCTACAGTCGTCGTTGTGTATTTAAATACAATGAAGACGACTTTCTTGTAAAATTTTACCATTTCTACCTATCTTATAAACAGCAGAGACACATCAACAAGAAAAATGTAAAAAAAAGAAATATGAAAAGTCGTCTTCATCGTATTGATATAATCGCCGACCACTGCATCAAAAATCTTGGAAAGGATTTGAGTCTTAGCAACAAACTCCTCTGAATTCTTTATCATTACAACCCGATGTCGTAGGCCTTAGATATTTCAAACTATGAATTCTGTTAGATCAAACAATCTAAGTCTGAAATATGAAAGGTTTACACCATCAGGTTGCAAAGATGCATGGATAAGAAAATTTGAGTTTTTGGCAAAGACTCAACTCCTTTCTGTCCACGAGTCTTTTCTTGCACTCCTTAATCAAATAAAATGTCACAAAAAAGACGTTAAAACTTTAACTATTTTTAATTATTTTATTCATTTTTAATTATTTTAATTATTTTTTAATGTCCTGTTTGAAGGTGGTAGTGTGTCTCGGCCTAAACCCTTCAGAAAACCAATAAATACATTCGAACTCCTTCTACTAGGTAAACATACAGATACTCGTCGTTTACAAGCGCGGAATTAAAGGTCCCTAAGTCGGAAAAGTAATATCGCATCAATTTGCAGTTTGCAATGCATATCTTTTACTGATATCGTGTTTGAAAATAGGTTTAAATTCGACAATGACAAAGTGTAAAAAATATCGCGTGGTACTGAAGGTTTCCACCATCAGGTTGTTAAGACATTTAGAGTAGCAAATTTTATTTATAGCGATTTGTGACAAAATATTTTCAAAATTGATTTTTTTAGGTACGGAGGGGTCGGGGAAATCCACATTTATCAAACAAATGCAGGTTAAATATCTCTATTTTGAGTTTTTTCGCCAGTTGCTACGGTTCTTTCTTTGTAAATAAAAAAAATATTTAAAACCGCGGACTATTTTGTTTAATGCCAAATTTCGAAAAAAAATAAATTTGACAGAAAAAAATTTTGAAGCAGATTTTTGTCTTTGACCGCCGCGTCCATGTATGCAATTTCCATTTTTCAAATATGAATACATTAATACAAATAAATAGATAAATTTTTCAGGTCATCCATGGGATGGGGTTCACGACAGAGGAGAGGAGAGAATTCATTTCTCATGTTCATGACAACATTTTTGATGCTATGATAATACTTGCCACACAAATATTCAAGTAAATAATATGATAAGTCAATATGTAAACGTAATAATAATAAAGCCTGTAAACA